TTTTGGATTCAATCCAGAAGTTCCTATTTCTCAGATTGGTGTTGTCTGTTCCTTTGTGGTAGTGAGATTGGTAAATCATTGCATTTTACTAAAGTATTTGACCTGCGTGTTCTAAACTTTTGAGCTCATTTCGTCTCTAAAATGTCCTCTTGGAGCTCTTACTGTGATTGTTCTTCTATTTCTTTTATTCAAAATGTTTTACATTTCTCATTTAATTGGTGTGCCATGCCCTACTTCAGTTTGTATTTTTTTTTTTTTTCGGTTATCATTTGCCATCTCAAATTGATAAGTCTCACACCCGTTAGCTATAATAATGTGGTTTAAATTCATATTTGGCGAAAATCGAACCTAAATCTCTTACTTACAAATAAAGAGAAATATTATACCAAAGGTTATTAATGTTAACACTGGAATTAAGAAACAATTGGGTCCATAGCTCAGTGGTAGAGCATTTGACTGCAGATCAAGAGGTCACCGGTTCGAACCCGGTTGGGCCCTCATATATTTTAATGTTGTTCTTATTTTTGCTGCTATTTACAGATAAATGCCCAATTTGATAATGTGGAGTGGATTTTTTTACAATAAAAAAAAAAAAATCTTTTTGGTTGAAATTTGCAAAGCATGATAAAATCACATGAAATGTGTAAACCCCCTCTAGCTAATACTTTGTCACATGAAAATATTGTTTACCTACTTATCACATAATCACATTTATCTTACAACATTGAAAATGCATATTTTCTCCAATTTCAGTTGTGTAAAAGATTTATAAAGATCCAATATTATTTTAAGTAACTATTCTATTTTAGTAAGGGAGATGATTTTCACGCATCCATTCTTATTTATGACCATCAGATTAAAGGTATCAAACGAAAACAATAGCAGAGATCAAATATGAGTGTGTGATGTTAAAAAGGGTGTGTGTTTTCCATTTGTCATTTACTAAATTTATATAAATCTTTTAAGTATGTATGTAAATGCACTCTTGAATGTAATCGTGTTTGCTTTAGTTGCTAGTTGAGATTTATAGATAAAACCAATTGGAACCACCGAACCTGATCACTCATGTTATTTGTTACATGATGCTACTTCTCATCGATCTACTTGTAAAATTCCGTATTAAAAAAATGATTATATATGTATGTGTGGGTAATTATTTTTACATAATGATTTTATTAGATTTCAAAATCTTTTTTGCAACGAAATTATTTCAAAAAAAACTAGCTAGTATTATTTCATGTTCATATGTAATTGGAAATGTTTTTAGTTTGACTTGGAGAAGGGTGATTATATGAGATTGGCTTGATATTTTTACCAAATAAGGGTGTGTTGACAAGTTAATGATTGGTGATTATTCACCATCTAAAATGAAAAGCTGGGAGTCTAGCATTGTATACGTTGGTATCTTGCAGGTGACAACATCTTGGGGTTATTAGGAGTGCGCAAGTGAAGAGGTGGAAGTCTTGCATTGTATACGTTGGTATCTTGCAGGTGGCAACATCTTGCCGTTATTAGGAGTGCGCAAGTGAAGACATGTGTAATATCCAGAAGTAGCAACTGGTGGTATGATTCCATTCCATATAAATTAATGAAGGAGAAGAGCTAGAAGGAAGGGAAGAACACATAGGAAAAAGAAGGAAAAACCTCCTCTCCGTTACAGACCATTCTTCTCACTCACCAGTTATTTTACCTTATGTAAAGGCTCTAAACCACCTTCACAATATTTTGTAAATCTCTTGTACATAATGAAATCCAAATGCATGTGCAAGTCGATTTACCGAACTACAAATGAAAGGAAGAAGATAGCATTAGAAAGCAAAGGAAACAAAAATGGATGCTCTTGGTCATCATCACGTCAAGCTCACATATCGTCAACTTATCTCTTTATCATCAACTTAGTCTCATCTTTCACATATCAAACTTCTACAAACCAAAACCACGAACTCACATATCGTCATAAAATGCTATCCTACATATTTATCACCACCAAAAGCTGCACTGCCAGCAAGAAGTTCGATGTATCAGGGACGCCAACCTGCAACGACAACGTGGCCTTTGGCCAGTCAACCTCACCAATGGGAGTCATGGCAGACGAAGACGATGTCGTGATTAAGACTCGTACAACTGAGAAAGCTATATTCTAACAGAATTGCTCTATGGAACTCAAATGAGGTTATGTATCAATATCACCTAGAGAGAGATGGAGTAAAATGGTAAAGTAATTTTTCTCAATTATATTATTGTGTGCGTTATCAATACTTTATTATTGATAATATAATACAATTTTGGCTACTAATTTTGATTAGTTTTGCAGATTGTATGATTATTATAGAGCATGCAATAATTGACATCCATATTACTTTGCATATACATAAGCATTTATGCAAAGTAAGAAAAAGAGCCGTGTTGCTGTAAACATGAATTTTCCGTAGCAAATAACAAAAGAACACATGTACAAAGTAAATTTGTATTAATGAATTAGTAGGGTTAACAATCTTTGTTTACAAATTTCCTCTTATTTGATCTCCGAAAGATGTGTAGATGTGTAGGTTATTGATCCAAGGGTCATGATGCCGTTGACTTGGTCTCGGATGAACGGTTGCCGAGAGGTTTTGGCTCTTGGTGAATGGAAGGATTGACACGGGTAATAGTGCTTGATGATTTTTCGAAGGTTGGGTGAAGAATGCATAGAACTTTATGAATTCTTCTAAGTTTTTTGGGGCTTTGGGTGCTTGAACTTTGGCAACGTCTGCTTGAATGATTTCTGGATCCTTTTCTTTGTCTTGGAACCTTAATATTTCTAAACTCTCCAAGCCTTGACTACGAATGGATTTGGCCTTGATTGTGGGCTTGATTAATTGACAAAAAACCAGGACTCGATTTGTGGGCCAGTTCATGATTTGACTCCATCAGTTAATATTTGATTTAATTAAATTAAAACCAAATAAATTAATTAATTCCTTTCAGCATAGTGTTGACACGTGTCTCTCTTGATGACTCTTTCGATTTTGATGAGTCACATCCATGTGTACGATTTGTGAGACACATGGCGTATGCCACTTATGCCCTAACATGTCGAAACCTTAATGTGTTGGTGAACATTTATTTCACTAAAATTTTGATGTCTACAGTTGTGTCAAGTACTCACTTGTGTTAAGTGTTTGACTTGTGAAGATATTCAATGGCTGAAGAATGCCTTAAATATAAAATAATGAAATCTTGTATATGCCAAGAGCCAGGGGAAAAGTTTGAATATACAATTGAGCATTAGGGGAAGTGCCTTTATAATAAAGTGAAAATTGAGAATTTAATTCTGAAAAATTGGTTTTAAGGGGTGAACGAGAGTTAACTCATATTTTAAGGTATTCAGAGTCAAGTGGTATAAGCATGATATGAGACGTGCAGGTTTGGGTGCCTTAGGTATGTGTTAGCGGAATTAGAAGGGAGTGAGTCCATGCATCTCATTGGCATATACTTTATGCATTTGAAAGAATTGTTACGATTTAATTATTATTTAGTTGGTAGTTTTGGTTGTTAAGTAACTTGTGCACTAATTTTTATTCTGATGCGTATTCGATAAATTTTACGTTGTAAACTCAAGTGTAAATTTAGTTACAAATTTTAAATAATATTTTCTTTCATCATGTCTTGATTATAGAATTTATTTCTATAACTAAGATACGGCTTTCACCCTAACTCGTGAATAGTTTTTATTCATGGGTCGAGACGTGACACTACCGTTGTTGTTATGCAATGACAAGGCCAGACTTCACCTTTGTTGTCAAAAGTTGTTATTCACTACAACTTTTTCAATCTCTCTCTACTTTCTACACAAGATGTGAAACGATTGAACATAATTTCTTGTTAGTAGAAATCCATTCTGGAGATTTTGGTTTTGATTTTCTATCACTTCCTTTTTTAACTTCTACATTATTTCTCTTAATTTTGTCTGTTGATTCTCGTTTGTTTTATTCAACCCAATTAAAAACATTTCCAATTTTGAGAATAAAAGAAAATAGTCTTGGACAAAAAGGAAAAAAAAAAGAAAAATGTGGCAATCATCCACCACCATTCAAACGAAAAATTGAAAGTTGTAAATGTAGTCTTAAAACTTTCATAAGAGGAAAATGCTTGTATCTGAGATCGTTATTCAAAGTCTCGACAACTCCTCGCTTTCACTCGCATATAAAACGTGATCTTACATGTTGGATAAGAAAATGCTTATTTTTTGCAGTGCTCTTGAGTCTTGATAACTCGTATATAATCGCACTTTCTCTTCTAGAACTCAAATTTGACAAAGTGGAACAAAATCTGATTTCTAGAGGGTTAAGTGGGAAGATTGATTTCTAGGGAAAAAGTGAGACTAGAATCGAGCTCCAAGGGCATTGCAAAAAAAAAAAATCCATAAAAATTTAGAGAATGTCAGTTTTGTGGGATTCACACTTAAGTGGCGAAAAAATTAAGTCCTAGAGAAAAGGAACATCAGAATCGGGTTTGAAGAGGCATTGCAAATGTAAACGCCAAGTGACAAACAAAGAACCAAAATACAATAGTGGCTTCATCTGGGTTTGAATCGGAGGTCTTTAGTGGCGAAATTTGAATTCCGAAAAAAAAATGAAAATGACTTGAAAACTTTGAGTTTTAATAATAAAGACAAAATAAAGGGTAACATGAATAGTACTATGTTTGATTTTTTAGTACAAAAATGTAGTTTTTCGTTAAATTGAATAGTATCGCGAATTTTTCGTTAAAACTCAAAAAAAAAAAAAAAGGAGATTAGAGTTGAGTTCCAAGAGCCATTGCATGTAAAGCACAAAGGGCAAACAAAGAACGAAAAAATAATAGTGGCTTCGCCCGGGTTCGAACCGGAGACCTTCAGTGTGTTAGACTGACGTGATAACCAACTACACCACGAAACCTTGACGGTCAGAATTTGCTTCTTAACATATATATATATAAAACACACAACCTTAATCCCTCTGTTTCCTCTCTCATCACCTTCGGTCCCTCACTTCAAACTCCCACCTCTAGAAAACCCTAACCCTCTCTCTCCACTAGAAAACCCTAACACCCCCCTCTCTCTCTCTCTCCACTTTCTCGCTCCTAGGGTTTCGTTTCTTGCTCTAGTCAAACAAGATGCAGGACCCTCTAAGCATGTCCCTGGACGACCTCATCAAGACCAGCAAGAAATCCGGATCCGGTAACAGCCGAGGTCGCGGCGGCCGGGGGCCCTCGGGACCCGGACCCGCCCGCCGCTTGCCCAATCGCGGCGCCAATCGCGCGGCGCCGTACGTGGCTGCGCCCAAGGTAGAAGCAAATCTCTGGCTTTGGCTCTGATCTGATCTTATCTTCTCCAATTGAAATAGAATTGAGTTAATAATATATTTTGGGGATTTAGGCGCCGGAGACTGCGTGGCAACACGACATGTATGGGGATCTTGGGGCGGCGGCGTACGCGGCTCCAGCTGGAAGAGCCTCGGCTATCGAAACTGGAACCAAGCTCTACATCTCCAATCTCGATTATGGCGTTTCCAACGAGGACATTAAGGTAGAGTTCCCTGTTATTTCAAAATTCTAATGAAAATTTGGATCTGTTTCTTTAGAAGCTGATTTCGATTTGTGATTTGTGAATCCATCAAAACTACATTAAGCTAGAGTTCCCTGTTATCGTATGGATTGTATTTGGATGTTGGATTTGAAACTAAAATTGTTCGAATTGAAATTCTTATTGTAAATGGTTTGAATTTGAATTCACATGTAGTTTTGATGGTTCAAGAATTGGTTTTTTAAGTCGGCGCTACATCGAAAATCCCTTTATTGCCTTCTTTCAACAGTCTAATCAAATAACTAAGAATTCGAATCTGCATATTCTGGTAACTTGGTGCTTTATCTTTTGGACTGAATCAAAAGTTTGCTTTTGCTGCTACGATCCTCATTTGTTCTGTTGCTTTGTATGGTATTTATTAGTTGGTTTCTGGTTACAAATTTGATGGATTCAATTGGAGTTTGAGTTTTATTACATTTTACAATTTGGATTTCCTAAAGTCGAATTGTTATGTACAGGAATTGTTTTCTGAGGTTGGTGACCTGAAACGTTATGGAGTACATTATGACAGAAGTGGGAGATCAAAGGTATCTTGTCAAGTTTCATATTATTGGTCCTTCTGGAGAATTTTTTGTGTCCTGCTGTAGTTTAAAACAAAAACCCTTTTCCATAGGGAACAGCAGACGTAGTTTTCTCACGACGAACGGATGCTGCGGCGGCTGTTAAAAGATACAACAATGTTCAACTTGATGGGAAGCCGATGAAGATTGAGATTGTAGGAACGAACATTGGGACACCTGGCGCCCCACCTGCTTACCCGCCTGCTCCTAATGTAGCTTTTGGAAATAGGAATGGACCACCCATGGGGTATGTTGTGTACCATACTTTTTACTATAGAATTAGCTCTCAATGATGTTTGCATTTATACATAATTCGTTTTTTAGTAAATGTCCACTCTCTATGACTTAAAGGATAAGAGGTTATTTGCTTTGTGATTGCTATAATAAGAAGCTCTTGGCATATGTTTGGAATAAGAATGCATCAAGGCGCAAGTTTTGATTTTACATGTGCCGGATGCTGTTGGCCTATTTAAGACCTTGCATTATTGGCTTGGGTCTATTATGGCTCTTTTGCAGGCCATATGTAGGGTCTCTATGGTCGTATTGTAGTGGGAAGTTCTAGAATTTGTAGTCTTTAATATCCTTGATAAAGTTGTAGTTGAGAATTAGTGACTTCGATACTTATTTATTTTGATTAGAATGCATTTGTATGATACTTAAACTGATGTTCCATCATGCCTTGGTTACCCCTTCAAATATAGATGATGTTTTGTCTAGTACTTGTGTCTGAGTCGTGAGATGTAGCAGTTGGGAAGACTGAACATATATTATTGTTGGATGTGTGAACACATTATCTGTGCCACATATTAATTTATCTGAAGTCCTGATTGTGTATTTGTTGTGGTTGTTGAGCAGTGGACAAAGTAGGGGTGGTGCATTTGGACGTATACGTGGCGGTGGTGGCGGCGGTGGTGGCAGTGGTGGTGGCAGTGGTGGTGGCGGTGGTGGCCGCGGTGGCCGTGGTCCTAGAAGGGGCGGTGGTGGACGTGGAAGTGGAAGAGGCCGTGGTGAAAAGGACCAAAAGGTTTCTGCTGAAGATCTTGATGCCGAGCTAGAGAAGTACCATGCAGCAGCAGAATCAATGCAAGAGTAAATTGAAATCAGCTGTGTGAAGCGTCAGCTATATTACATCTTTTATGGCTCATTAGGTGCTTGGTGATTTGACAACCTCATCTATTTTCTGTATTTCTATTGAAGCCAGAAATTCCTTGAGAGAGAAAAATCATGCTTAGGAACAACTCTTAGAATCTTGCTTACAGATGTTGGGCGCTTATTATGTTTGTTTAAACATGGGTATGAAATATGTGAGTTAATGGACAGTTTCAGTACTTGAACTGAATTCCTACTTCATTAGCTTCTTCGATCCCCTTTTATACATTCAACAAGTTGGTGGGATCGGGAAGCTTCTCTCTCTGCATCTCCACACGCAAAGACAAAACTGGCTGCAGAACGTGTGAAAGGATTGAGCCTTAGAGAATTCACACAATGCTGCAATGCGTTTGGTCGGTTCTACTGCATGTAAAGTGGCGTACTTCGCATGAGGTAGATATCTCTGTTTTCCTTGGCTTTGAAGTCTTGTTAACCATTTAAGTTATGTCCTTTGTATTTGGTGCAGTTGAGCTGGTTATTTCCTGCTATTTTATGGTAGCTTTCTCTAATATCCTGCCCCAGAAAATGATAGTTTCCATGTTTAACTGGCATTGATCCTGACATTATGCGTATAGAGAAATTGTATGGACTAAACAATAAGCCGGTTCTACATATAGAATTGGGTTACAGAAGTCACCCATGATATTCAGAGATGTGCAGTCCCTTCAGGCTTCCCAGCCCTGGAAGGAGTTCCAGGTATGGCTGTCTTTTGACCGTCTTTATTCGGTGACTCGGTAAAGACAGTGGGGGAGCATGAATCAGGTTCTATCATTCCATGGTTGGAGTTCCATATGCACTACGGAATATTCCATGGTTGGACGTAAAACCTACTTGACTAGGTTTTCCGTCCAAGCGACTGGTTTAACCTAGTCGAATTTTGAAATTGACATTCTTATTTTCTGCTATCATTTTCCTTTTCGTGTTTGGTTCATGAATTCTAAAAGTACCTCTCTGCACGCCATGTGAACTTTGTAAATCTTTGTGATTCATTTTTGTCTCGATAGTCGAGTGGAATTAGTATGCTAGATAGCGAAAGAGAAATGGCGAAAGACGGGGTTCATGCGCCGAAAAAAATCCTGGTTTCCAAATCTAACACATCACTTTCCTATGTTGTATATTCGTATCTATTTATTTTACCACGTGATTAGGGAGTATGTTCATATAGCCGATCCCACTCAGTGACTTGGATTTTCCAAGTCTCAAACCAAGAAGTTTTCCTCACTCGGGAAATTAAGGGAACACTACCCCAACCTACATGCTCCACTCAGAAAGCTTCAACATACAAGCTTCAACAAAAGAAAATTCAAAGAACTTAGCGAAGAAGGCTTTGGTGTATTTAACACAATACGTTGAAATGAAGGAAAGCTTATTTATTGATATCCCCGATAAGCTACAAATATGTACATATACATGAGTCAAAATAAACACACAAGAGGGAGCCTTCACAAAGGTTGCTTAGGAGAAGTCTCAGTAGTCGGTAGAGCCCCAGAAAGAGAAGGCACCGGAGGGGGATCATTTGGAGCCTCAGTACTGGACAGAACCCTAGAAGGAGGAGGCATCAGAGGTTGATCATTTGGAGCTTCATTACGCGGTACAGCCCCAGAAGACGAAGGCAATAAATGCCTTTGGAACAAACCCACAAATCTCTGATGATCAAGTAAAACCTGACCATCAGTTTCCTTCATCTGGTCAAGCTTCCTCTTCATGTTTGTAGCATAGTCATGTGCGAGCCGGTGCAACTGTTTATTCTCATGCTTGAGCCCTCTAATCTCCTGTTTGAGACTCATCACTTCAGCCGCCAATGATTCAACTTGGCGGGTTCGAGCAAATAGGCGTTGTGCCATATTAGACACAGAACCTGCACTCTGAACACTGAGAGCCAGCGAATCCTTAACAGCTAACTCATCAGACCGTTTGGAAAGTAGTCTGTTATCTTTGGGAGTGAGAAGGTTCCTGGCCACCACCGCAGCGGTCATATCATTCTTCATCACGGAATCCCCAACGGTAAGAGGACCAGTTGGGGAGACGAAGGATGGGCGCCATATGTTGTCTGGAGAAGGCGGGGCTGCCTCTTCAACAAGGTTCAAGTCAAAACGACGGTCGGAGGGGCCAGACATTTTCAAAGGTGTTGAAGAGAGAAGAGGTCGGACAAATCAAGATCTTAGAAGTGCAAGAATGAAGCTTCTACTAGTGGAGATTCAAGTGTGCTTTGGAACTTAATGCCAGCCCCTATAAAAATCTGCACTCGACGGAGCTTCAGAAATCAAAGAGGCGCCTGCTCAGAAATCGAAGAGAGGCGTTTGCTTTCTCAAAAGTTGGGCTGCTTAGAGATCACGAGGGTTGATCTCAGAAATCGAAGAGCCGTTTGCTTTCTCAAAAGTTGGGCTGCTCAAAGACCACGAAGGCCGATCTCAGAAATCGAAGAGGCGCTCGCTTTCTCAAAAGCTGGGCTCCCTAGAGACCACGAGGGCCGATCTCAGAAATCGAAGCGGCACCTACTTTTCCAGCTTTGTCAGCACCTGTCACACGCACACTCAGCTTTGCGGAAATTATGGGCATTCTGTCAAAGACTTCTGGGGAAGTAGAAAACACATGAATCTTACTGTTCAATCACCCACTTCCCACACGCAACAATAGCTCATGGGTACCACAGATAACTTTGCCAAAGTTCTCTGCCAAAGTTGAGCACGTGAAGCTTGCAGCTCCCACTACATCACTCTGACCAAGAAGGGTAAAAGAATAGCAAAGAAACAGCACTAACAAAGTTTAGACCCATAAATTTTGAAGGTCTAGCTACCATATTATTACCCACAAGGGTAAAGGAACAGTACCACTGCTGGATAATTGGAAAGTCCATGTATGTCAACCTCTGTGCTTCGTGGCAAGGTAGACTAGCAAACATGCCCAACCTTTACTCACATTCGAGAAAACACTCCCAATAAGATTGCTTGCTCCAAAATCGAAGAGGCACCGTCCTCCGAATCTAAAGAGCCAGACTCCCAACATGACTACTTTCTTAAAAATCGAAGAGAGGGTAAAGGAACAGTATCATTGCTGGATAATTGGAAAGTCCCTGTGTGTCAACCTCTGTGCTTCGTGGCAAGGTAGACTAGCAAACATGCCCAACCTTTACTCACATTCGAGAAAACACTCCCAACAAGATTGCTTGCTCCAAAATCGAAGAGGCACCGCCCTCCGAATCTCGAGAGCCACTCTCCCAACATGATTACTTTCTCAAAAATCGAAGAGACACTGCTCCCCGAATCTCGAGAGCCAGACCCCCAGCATGATTGCTTTCTCAAAAATCGGTGAGGCACCGTTCTCCGAATCAATCGAAGAGGCGCTCGCTTTCTCAAAAGCTGGGCTGCTCAGAGACCACGAGGGCCGATCTCAGAAATCAAAGAGGCACCTACTTTTCTAGCCTTGTCAGCACCTGTCACACGCACACTCAGCTTTGCAGAAATTATGGGCATTCTGTCGAAGACTTCTGGTGAAGTAGAAAGCACATGAATCTTACTGTTCAATCACCCACTTCCCACACGCAACAATAACTCATGGGTACCACAGATCACTTTGCCAAAGTTCTCTGCCAAAGTTGAGCACGTGAAGCTTGCAGCTCCCACTACATCGCTCTGACCAAGAAAGGTAAAAAGAATAGCAAAGAAACAGCACTAACAAAGTTTAGACCCATAAATTTTGAAGGTCTAGCTACCATATTATTACCCACAAGGGTAAAGGAACAGTACCACTGCTGGATAATTGGAAAGTCCCTGTGTGTCAACCTCTGTGCTTCGTGGCAAGGTAGACTAGCAAACATGCCCAACCTTTACTCACATTCGAGAAAACAGTCCCACACAAGATTGCTTGCTCCAAAATCGAAGAGGCACCGTCCTCCGAATCTCGAGAGCCAGACTCCCAACATGACTACTTTCTCAAAATCGAAGAGAGGGTAAAGGAACAGTACCATTGCTGGATAATTGGAAAGTCCCTATGTGTCAACCTTTGTGCTTCGTGGCAAGGTAGACTAGCAAACATGTCCAACCTTTACTCACATTCGAGACAACACTCCCAACAAGATTGCTTGCTCCAAAATCGAAGAGGCACCGCCCTCCGAATCTCGAGAGCCAGACTCCCAACATGATTACTTCCTCAAAAATCGAAGAGACACTGCTCTCCGAATCTCGAGAGTCAGACCCCCAACATGATTGCTTTCTCAAAAATCGAAGAGGCATCGTTCTCCGAATCTCGAGAGCCAGATACCACAGACCACTTTTTCAAAGTGCTCTGACAGAGTTAAAACATGTGAAACTGGCAGCTCCCACTACCGTGCTATGACCAAGCAGGGTAAAGGAATAGCATTACTACTTGTTGTTAGGGAGACTCCTATATATGTCGACCTCCATCCCCAACGGACAGGCAGACCTGCAAAAATGCTCAACCCTTCATCATATCTGAGAGGGCACTCCCAACAAAGCCTTTCGAAATATTCAGCTTTCTTTCCCCCCGATAATACCTCTGCAAACAAGCTATACTAGAGCAAGAATATCTCATATCATCAGGGTTAAAAGCAAGAGTATCCCATATCATGCTTTTTTCCTATTTTTTCTTTTGGCCTTGTTTTTTACCTGCAAGACAAGGAGAAAGAGAGCAATCAGTCAGCACTTGGAATCAAGCTTCCAGCCAGGAACTGACTGCCTGGAACCCCTTACCTGATTACTTACCTGGCATTGCTCTCGAGTACTCATCTTCAACATCTTATGTTTCCAGGGAAGATTCCGCATCTGCTTGAGGAACAGATAGGGCAAGTGCGAAGGATACAAGGAAGCATGTGGAGACAAGCGTAACAGCACACGTGCCGATACATCCATTACTCTGTCAAAAGCAAAAGTATCCCATATCAGCAGGGTGGAACGTACTCTAGATTTGATGGACTTGTTTTGACCCTCAAATTCTTCAGTCGGCCTTATACTCTGGAGGAAACCAGAAAACCCTCCAGCTCAGTTCAAGAATAAGCCTGTGGAAAGTTACTTCTTCAAAAGCAAAAAAAGTATCTCATATCATCTCTTCTCATTTTTCTTCTCTTTATCCTTCATGCTGCTGCAAGATGGGGAGAAGGTGAACAATCAGTCGGAGCTCTGATTGCTTACCTTGTCTGTCACCTCTTTCAGCAGACCCCTAGCTCGGCGACTTGGGGGACTCCTACTACATGGTTTGTATCGCGCTTGACCAAGCCTGAAACTACAAGTAAGCTTCAAGTGAAATTGATACATTACCTTGTGCATCTCCACCAGTTAAAGATACCACCCCTGGATGGAGGAAGAGTACTTCCAGAGAAGATGCCACATCTACCTATGAGACAGATAAGGCAAGTCAAGACGACACCACACTCCGATACTTAGAAGTTTCGTGATTACGAGATCATTCTCCCACAATATTTCCTAATGTCATTTGTACTAAATCATTCACTCGTACTCACTAAAGGAGAGCTTGAACCTATGTACTTGTGTAAACCCTTCACAATTAATGAGAACTCTTCTATTCCGTGGACGTAGCCAATCTGGGTGAACCACGTACATCTTGTGTTTGTTTTCCTATCTCTATCCATTTATTTACTTATCCACACTAATGACCGGAGCAATCTAGCGAAGATCACAAAAAGCGACCGTTTTCGTTACCTATGATCTATCTTGCAAGAGAACGGAGAATTAGATGGAGATCTCAACCATAGAATATGAGCTGGATGGAAAGAGTGCATCCGGCGTGTTGTGTGACCGTCGTAGGCCACTGAAGCTCAAGGGAAAATTTTATAGGACGGCAATAAGGCCAGCGATGTTGTATGGCAGAGAATGTTGGGTGGTGAAGCATCAACACGTACACAAAATGGGTGTAGCGGAGATGAGGATGCTTCGTGGGATGTGTGGGCACACGAGAAAGGATAAAATTGGGAATGAGGATATCCGAGGTACAGTAGGAGTAGCCGAAATTGTAGGAAAGATGAGAGAAAATCGGCTCTGGTGATTTGGACATGTGCAAAGAAGGCCGACTGACGCTCCGGTTCGAAGATGTGACTACGGGACAGAGGTTTAGGGCCGAAGGGGTAGAGGAAGACCTAGGAAAACTTTGGAAGAGACTCTAAGAAAAGACTTAGAGTACTTGGATCTAACGGAGGACATGACACAAAACCGAGCGCAATGGCGTTCTAGGATTCATATAGCCGACCCCACTTAGTGGGAAAAGGCTTTGTTGTTGTTGTTGTTGTTGATTAGGGAGTATGTAGCAAGATATTTAGTACTCCGTAATCGGAATTCAATTCTACATTCTCATTCCGATTACGGATACGTAAACACACCATAAGGGAGAGAAGGTGAACTTAATCTCATAATGGGCTAACAATAATGTGGTTCAAATTCGTCTTTGGCGAAAATTAAATTCAAGACCTCTCACTTGTAAAAGGATTCGAATGCAGGACCGCAATATTCTTTTCTGATTTGATTTCCTGTTTAGAAACCTATTGCCGCGACGTTCAAGTAGCGCCATAAACTCTCTGTTACAACTTGTCGATTTCAACCGGTTTTGTGAAGTTGTACGGAAACTCTCTCAACGCTATCTTCTCTTGTGGATCGATTACATGGTTCGGTTCATTTCAAAAGAAAGCTCACACTGAATAGAATCCGGCAAGGAAAAGCAGATCAAAAGGCAAACTAGTACTCCAAATGTGGAACAAACATTCAACCAAACCGAGCTATTGTTTGCAATCTAATTTAGAAGAAACAAATTTCAATTCCGCCGAAAGAGGGCAAGAAGGGAACAAAATCACTTACACAATGCACAACAAACAACTTTGAGCTTCGGTTCCTACTTCCTAGGGGTTCAGTTTTTACCTTTACAGGAAGCTACATCCTTCGAAATTCGCATCATCTAAAACTTTGGCCTTCTCAGCTTCTCCAAACTTGAAAAGATTAATCCCAACAGAGAGTACAATACTGCCTTCACGCAATCCATTACGAAATTCCAACAAGCGGGCCAGTACCATGGATATAGCAATCGGAAGAACAAGCTTATAAGATGTCGAGGGTATCTGCCAACCTGCACCATGGAATAAAAGTCATGCTCCATACGTGCTAACCAAAAGGCGTAACGTGTAGAAGTTATCTAATTGGTCTCTAGAAAATACTGGTAAGTCCTTGCATACATTACGTAATTATGTATAATCCATCTGAAGCCACGACCCACGAACACCGAGGATGACTTCTAAAAGCATCATGTAAGGTCCTATTAAGAATATTCTATCAGAATTACGGTCAGCAAATTAACAATAAAGATCTCCGCTTTGCTCACATCCAACCGGAGATGGAATGATTGGTAACACATTACTTGATTTAGATACTAACAAAAGCAGCAAATAATAGTGTTCCAAGCTATTCTCTCTGTTACATGCATGGGTAGGATTCCGTCTCTCTTTAGAAGTTGTTTCTTCCTGCTTTGGTTGGGGGCTAGCAGCACAAAGATGGAGATTACTAATATAATCTATATCATATTTAACAGCACATTATTCGAGATAACAAAGATGATAACTAGATACGATTGTGGTAAGACTGCAGTAAAATATCAAGTTTTAACAGACAACAGTTGAGGGAAATATATACTCACGGGAAAAAGCAAATCTAATGCATCCCATGCCGCATGACGAACAGCTCTTGTGGGGTACATTGGACCTCCAGGAGAAGTGAAGCTATACAAACACGCCTTTAACCTCGTACTTGTGGCCATTCTCAGCTCCATTCCTGTTAGATTAAAAATACATTAACCAGAATACGATGCGACTAAACTAGAATACCAGGTTCACATGATTCCTTAAATCTTAAACCTGAAGAATGGTTAGAATATTACCCTGGAGAAGTTTTATATGCGAAAGGTAATGCAGCAATACTGGTTCCACCTTCAGTTTTTGAAGCTGACCAGTAAAGATATATGAACTTCATATTAAATTGTTAATTTATGAATATCACTGCACTGTGTGAACGAAACTACACATAAGTTCTACTGCGTAGAGTGTTTTGAAATTTACCTGATCTGCAAGTTCAATAACAAAGAAGTCCGCTGAACTACCAACCAGAAAAGCGTTGGGAAAAAGAGGAAATGCCCTTAAGAAGCTGTCGAGCTTGTCAACTGCATGAATCAACACATTACTGGAGAATTTACAAATTCTTGATTCAGGGGCTGAAGATGCATTACCAGAAAACCCACCTGAGTTATAAAAAAATATAAACCTCGAGAGTAAAAGAAATAGATCTCGCTGGACCTGAGAATTAATGAAGAATTCTAAAGTTAATTTAAAATGTTGCTTCTACATCAGTACTGGTTCCTCAATCACTATCATGGCTAGAATGACAGTTATCCACACCAAGGAAAAAAAAATTCCCTGTAAAACTGAAAAGGGAAATTCTGACCTGTACAGGAATTTTATTTAACCGTTTGGGCTCCAAAGCAACATCCTCAAGCAGATACTGAAATACAAGGTGTGGTGAAACAACACAAATGTGATAATTATTTCCTACAGTTCTTCAACAACAGCAAATAAATTTCATCTTTAAAAGGGCTCTCTTACACGAAAGAGGGATTGGAATCTCCTTGCATTTGATTGTGTATCAATCCTGCAAATATGCATACAGTACCACTAATAAGCTTGTTAGACAAAATGGAACAAAAGCAGCAAATTAAATTTAGACCTTGGGTGGGGGCTTTCCCATTCCACAAAAGGAACAAAAGAACAAAATTATGAATGGAAAGTTGTCCTTATGTCAGTATATATCGATAGGATGAGCAGCAGCAGCGAAAAGAAAAAATGCTTAATTTTGAGTAAGAACAATGAGAACGGAGCAGATAGACCATTCAAAATGTCCACAAGAGTTTCTTTGTTAGATGACAATTAAATTGTCACACGAGGTTCCTTAAAATAAGTTATTTCTATCTATCTCTGCTAATTTTGAATTCAAAGACACATAAATTAAGGATAGTGCTTTTCACACACCATTTTTTCCTTCTCACACACCCTTGTTAATTTTTGGCCATTGATCTTCTTCAACTCATTCAATCTGACGGCCGAAAATTGGGAAGAGTGTGTGAGAAGTAAAAATGGATGTGTGGACAGAACAAGCAGTACCTACCTAGCACCATGTGATGGAGGAACATATAAACCAAGAGTACTAATTACACAATATATAAATATACATACATACATAAATAAGGAAAAAAGATGCAAAAGATTCATTTTTTTACATAGTATCATCAATCATGCGAGTCCTGTTGAAAAGTGAATAAAAGACATTAAGAATTCAATAGACATTTCACATTACTGGAATGCATCTACAACCACTTGTAAGTCCAATCAACAACAACAACAACAACAAAGCCTTATCCCACTAAGTGGGGTGTAAGTCCAATCAACCATTAAAAATAAACAAGTTGATACACACTTATATTCGTACCAGAAAACATTTGTTGCACCTTCAACAAGAGCAGATGAGTAACGAAGAAGTACTTCAGAGTTGTCAAGTTGGACTTCAAACAGCTGGTAAAAGAAAAATTATTAAATACTCTCGGCATCACAGTGGCATAATCAAGACAAAAGAGTGAAGAAGTAACTTCATTAAGTATGTGAACAAAAACTTCATTAATCGAATGTCTGAAAACCAACTGTGACTCATTTGATTAGAACTTTGTATATGAAGAATGTTGTTAACTTCCAAATCAATTTCAATGAGTTTGACAAAGCCATTCTACATGCATGTCCAGTTTAAGAAATATAATTTACGGCCTTTTGGTGCATCCACGTGATATCAGGTGAAAGCTCCAAAAGGTAAACAGAATTAAAGACAAAATTATATTCACAAAAAAAAACCAGCTAGAAGAGATTTTGCATCCTGAATGGCAACTTTTAAAATTGAATGGAAAAGATCAATACACTGGGTGCGAGTTTACATACCCATTTGTGGAACAACAAGGCAAAAATATGAGATGCGAATGACTGGCTCCATAGTTGGACAATCAAATCAAGGATGCGTTTTCCACTCTCAGGCACCCGAACATAATGATCAGTGAGCACATCATAAAAGCATAGCTGTCCTTCGATGCCATCTTCAGCAGGAGAAATTGCATTCTCTTCCCTGCTGAGAATCATTTCTGACATGCAATTTGAACTCCAAAAATGAGAACACCGTCATAAGTATTGCATGCAAAGCCTTACACTTTTAAACAACTTTCCACAACATGCAAAATTAGACTGCAATAAAATTGAAGGAAAACTAATGAAAAAGGCTTGAAAACTTTGAGTTTTAACTAAAATGACAAAACGGTGTTGTAAGTGAATAGTACCGGGATTCACTTTTTAGAGTAAAAATATGGTTTTTCATTAAAATAGACAGTACCGGAAGCTTTTCGTTAAAAGTTTCCATAAATCAATGACTACCCAATGTTCCTGTGAGGCACTTTTAGCCACAAGCTTATGCGGTAGTAAGTACTCATTTGACATGTATTACCAAGGTAGTAACGCAACCACATCTTCAAAACGATGAAAATCTAACACCATCAAATGTTCAGTCTAAAAAGTAAAAACTTTACTTTAAAATGCCAACCGATTGCAGCAGTATCAGACTGAAAACATTTGATTGTCAAATCCGAAAACTGGCAACTCCACGGAGAATTTCGACTCACCTTTGGCTCGCTCATCGATCTCCAAAGCAATGTCAGCAAACAACTCCTGCAACAAATTCCGCCGCTGCGACGGAGAAGCCAGCGCCTACATCACATTAAACACACACAAATCTCTACCAAGTTAGGCCAGAATTTCCCAAGTACTTTTCTTATGATTTAACTCCCAAATCCAAAATTAAATGCTCTCCAAATCCAAACTTTCTATACACAAATGCCAAATCAAACATTTCCATTACAATTACCAATTTACCTGCCAAAATTCGTAAGAAAGATTTTCAGTTTTTACCAAAGAAAAAATTCATAAAATTTTACAGTAATTTACGTACTGTGATATCCAACAATTTAATCAATTTACGAATTCTGACCACAATTAAAACAATGGTTTCTCAGCTAAATTCAAATAGCTGTAATTGTGACAGGAACTTGATTCAATTAACCAGAAATTAAATTTTTCATCAATTCATTTATTTTCCTAGATTTTCTGAGTAACCAAACAGGAAACAAAGAGTTTTTTTTTTTTTTGGAAAACGGGAAACAAAGAGTTTGATATACCCGCTGGAGCTTCTTCTCGATCTCTTGCGTCAGCGCGTCGAGATATGCAGAGCTTCGAGGCGAGGAAGAAGCTTGCGCCATGCTGATACAGAACGAAGAGTAATAGCATTACAGACGAACAGAGAGAGAGGTGCAGAAGTCCGAAACCCAAAATCCTTCCGATCCAAACGCGGCCTTAACCGAAACCGACACGGTCTTCGTCTCGGAATTATCGAACAAAGGCATGTGTCAACTCGTGTGTGTGTCGACAATAAGAGACCTGCAGAGATACAGTGGAGCTGCTTTTTGGTCTCCCAGTGAAAATTAATTAAAAAAATGAAAGTAATATTTATTTGGATTTATTTAATAAAAAGGGAGATTGGAAAGTGGGCTGGTGGTGATGTGGCGTGGCGTGGCGTGGCGGGGAGGCAATGTGGCGGACGGGCGGGCGGAGAGCAAGTGGTTGGCAATGGAGGTCGGGTCGAGTGCTCGACTGTACGGATTTACTACACGTTGTGCGTATCTAGTTTTTTTTTTTTTTTAATAAAGACAATATTGTATTTTATTCAACTTCACAAACAGTTACAAAGGTGACCAATTAGATACATAAACTTCAATGATCAATAAATTGATCTGAAATGAATTTACGTAGTAAAACAAATAATTGTAAACCCCCCTAAATTGCTACCACCATCACTGTTCTAACCCCACATACTGTCATCAATACAAATCCTAACCCCACGTATCTAGTTTTCTATTTGGGTAAGGAAGTTGGATAATTGAATGGGATTTGACTGAGTCACTTTGGAGAGGAAGTAATTGGCTGACTGGTGGAGTAGGATTGGACCACTTGTAAATAAGCATATATTTTTGGTATATACATAAAAAAGAGTTTACGGGAAAAGGAGGTTACGCCATCTCAAGGTTTGGGCATAGCACAAGTTTCGTTGAGGACTTTAGAGTACTTCCACATGTTTTGTCATTGTTGTGGCAAGGGTAGCCCTGCCCAATGGCAATGCCGTTCACTGTAAAAAGTAATTGACATTGTGATACTTCACCTGGTTTGCTATGACCATGACAAACCGGTTAGATTTTTTATTTTTTTTAATACATAGTTCAGTTGTTTAATAATTAGCAGACCGGTTAGATTTTTGCTCTCCATGAGTGGAAGTGCTCTTACGGTGGGGTCTTAGTCCATTTTTTATTTTTATAAATAGTTCACTAACAAAAATTGCTGACAGTAGAACTCGAACTTAAAACTTGTTTTAGCGAAGATAACAATTCTTATCAATTTAATCAACCCTTGTTGGCATAAATAAGCATATATACATAGTTCTTAAAGTAAAAGACCAAAATTCTGACTTTCCAACACGTTACTGGTCTTCTCAATCAGGTTGACGTTTTAACATAAATAAATAACGTCCACGCAAAGCACGTTGCCATTACGCAATTACTCTTCGAGAACAAGGTCAACTCTTTTTGAACCAGATAAGAAAACCCTAACCTATATGATTTTCTCAGCAACCAAACAGATATCAGAGATGAAAATTACCACAAAAACGAAAAAAATTGAGGCAAAGATTCACTAACAAATCAAACTTATATTACTTCAAACAAGGGTCCAAATTACATCACTACTATAATTGTTATCGACAGATCTAAAGACCAGATCTGAAGAACCCTAACCCTAATTCCCAAAATAAAGGCATAAAATTCCCAATTTAACCCCCGAAACCGTAGAGGGTCCTTCCCTGCCTCTTCAGAGCATACACCACGTCCATGGCGGTCACGGTCTTCCTCCTGGCGTGCTCGGTGTAGGTCACGGCATCACGAATCACGTTCTCCAAAAAGATCTTGAGAACCCCTCTGGTCTCCTCGTAGATCAGACCGCTGATACGCTTCACGCCACCTCTGCGAGCAAGACGGCGAATCGCAGGCTTGGTGATGCCCTGGATGTTGTCCCTCAGCACCTTACGATGTCGTTTCGCTCCTCCCTTGCCCAAGCCCTTGCCTCCCTTTCCACGGCCTGTCATTTCCTCGGAAAATTTTTGGGCGAAGAAGTTTTATTCTTAATTGGGAGGAGAAATTGGAGTTTGATTTGATGGGAAGGCAGACGGAGGGATTTTGTGTATTTATAGTGTTTGGGCTAGGGGTTTGGAATTGGGAAAGGTTGCCGGTGGTGATATCGGCCGTTCGATGCGGATGCTTATCGATGGCTGAGAGAGTCGATCCGCGTCGTATTGTAAAAGTGGATTTGCGTCGTTGATGGTGTGTGAATCTACGGTGTGGAATTCTACAATTTTTGTGTGGCACGGATTGTGCTTTTTCGTGAGAGTGGCGGTTTTTTGAAAGGCGAGCCCAAGAGAACAGAGGGAGTTGTCCGAATTTTGTGTTTGAAATTTGAGGTTTTTTTCGCTTGAAAATTGTGGGAAAAATAGGCGCGCAGCACGTAACAACAGCCTCAGAGTTCTCTCTCTTCTCTATCAAAACTAAAATGCGTATCAGGAAGAAATTGGGAGATATTATTTTAAAAAAAATGAGATTTTAAAATTTTGAGTTTTAACGATAAGGATAAAATAAATGATAAAGTGAATAATATCATGTTTGACTTTTTAGTGTAAAAATATGGTTTTTCGTTAAAATGAATAGTACTACAAGCTTTTCGTTAAAACTCATATTATTTTATCCTGGAAAAAGTCACTATAAATATATATAGTTCCATATAGGGTTTGAAAAAAAGAATTTGTTACTGGTCTAAAATATCCATAATATCCCGATATTTCCATCGAAATTTCCGTGTTTTTGAACTACCGATATTTTTTTGGACTACCGATATTTCCGATATCATCGATATTTTAGATCTTGCTAAGTCACTCATGTATCTTACCATGCAATGTATAAAGTGTAAAATATTGTACTAATTCATTATATATAAATGATTATGGTGTGTTTAAACTTCTTTCATTAATTACTATATATTTTCTACGCTCACAATGTTTGCCAGCTAGCTATATAATCAATTTAAATCAGTTATATTTATCATACAATGCATTTCCTTCCAATTTTTTTGTGATAAACTAATAGATAATTTACTAAATAAACATTCTGCAAAGTTTCAATAAAAATTTCCAAGTTTTTCTTACAATTTTCGTAGTTTTTATTTAATTTTTATCGATATCGATAATATCCCGATATTTCCATCGAAATTTTCGTGTTTTTGAACTACCGATATTTCCGATATCATCGATATTACTTGACTGAGAGAGATTCTTTTATAAAGATCTAAAGATATTTTTTTGAACCACATATAGAGCCTTTGACTGGGATGCTCTAATGAACACGAATTTTATAGTTGGGTTGTCGAATATTCAAATTGCTACAATACAAAATTATTCAGCTATTTGTATAAAATCATCGCACATTCAAATAATTAAATATCTGAAAAATTAAAATGCATTACAATTTGTACAATTAAAGCCATGAGCAAGAGATATGATTCCTTCTCTCGAAGCATCATGACACGCATTAAAATGATGCACGATCAAGGCTCAAATCTAGGAATTAAACAATACTCCTCTATGCTACAATGAAACCATGTAACGTATACAATGTGGCATGACTGCAACATATCAAAATTGGCTCATTCGTTACAGCCTAAACAAAGAAAATTAACAAAAAGAGAACAACTCGACAGAGGATACCTTCTTAAAGACGTTGTTCTATCGATTTTATTCAATTTGTGCCTTATGTGCATCCGACTTAGGTATCAGAGAGTGGTTACGCGCAGCTGGCTGGTAAATCGCACGATGGTGATCAGAATGAGGTTGAAACGCCTCTGTGAGTCTTTTCATTCTCGAAATGGTGGACCGCCATGACGAAGCCTTAGCTGATCCCTTTATAAATATAAAAAACAAAACAAACAAACTCTCTACATTTTCACATATTGAGTCTCGCTATTTGGTGATTTTCTCCATTTGGCAAGCATAACAAAAGACAACAGCCACATGCGCATCAACATCGACAGTTAGTATTTGAACCAGAAAAAAACATCAACGGTTGGTTTTTCTCTGCTCAACGATTGGGTTCAGGCAGGTTGAAGCCCACTATTTAAATTTTGATAGCTAGATTTTGTCATTTGCTCACTTAATCATACCTGGAGTAACTGAAAAGTCAAAAACAAAAAGATGCCTTTTAACTCTGTTACTTCCTCCGTTTATTTCATTCAATTGAAAAGCTCTTGAGCCGACAGGAAACTTTGAGGGAAGTTACATAGACTCAATTCCCTCTTTTCTTTCTTTGAAAAATAACAAGAATTCCCTCCATTTCTCTGTTTCTTAAAGTAAAAACCTTAAAAGTTAGAAGTTGTTTTCTCACAAACTCAAACCCATATTTCAATTGAAAAGCTCTTGAGCCGTTGGGCAATCACAATAAGGCTACCGCCAAAAATTTTTGCTTTTTCAGTTTAGGGTTTTTCCAATTTTGGATGGAGACTTAGCCTCATCACAACAGGGCTGCCAACAATCTGAAGTCCATCTTCTTCCTCATTCTTATCATAAGAAGGAGAGAAAATGGAGGAAAATTGCCCTACTAGAAAAGGGAAAAAAAGGGGGGAAAATAACCCTTCCATTGATGAAGTAATTTCTCTTTCTGAATGATTCGAAAAGTTTTTTTTTTTTGGTTAAAATGCTTTGTTTGGGAATTGTCATTATCTTGGTCTTTAATTGAGTTTGTGTGAGGCAATGAAGTTTTGAAGCATATATAAATTTGGTTCAAATAAAACATTGGTTACCTGCTAAATGATATATGCTCAAGGTTCTAAAAAACGCTAGGCACTAGTCGGGCAGCGGGCTAGCGCCTAGTGCCTAGACAGCTAGGCTGTGCCTAGCGGATTTAGGTAAATTTCTTGTATATCTTGTAAATAAGTGCATATTGACACCTAAAAAAAGAACTATACTTGTATGAATAATAAAATAACGATAAAATGCAAATTAGGTACATTATTTCCATAAGTATTGGATGAACTTGTAGTAAATCCATTATTTGCAAATTAGATACACCATTTCCATAAGTATATCACCATGAAACCAAAAAAGAAAAAGGGAGTTTTAATGAAAATGGCTTGAACTAAGTTTATTTTAATAAAAAACCACCCTATACTATTATTTAACCAAAAGGGCTTCATATTTAATCATAAGGACAAAACTAATTTATATTAGACCCATAAACATTTAACACACACGGGCTGAACTAAACGCCCAAAACGAAATGATTTTTTTTTCCACCTTTGCCCCTAACAGCAATGCTATTTTGTCATCCAAATCTGTTAGAAATAAACTTTCCTTATTTACAAGTATGCCATTACGTCAGCCAGTTCTTTCCTTCTTTCTTATTTCTTGTGGCTGTTCGTTCCCCCTTCAAGTTTTGGTTTTTTTTTTCTTCTTGTCGTCCGCCTTCCTCCTGAAAGGGAGGTAAAACTCATCGTGGGTGATGGAGAGTGGCCACCTCCTCAAACCATTTTGCACGTTTAAAGAAAATGGGAGCAATTGCTTCACCAATTACCTTTTTTATTATATATATTTTAATATTATTTTATTAATTGATCACTTATTTGTAATTAGGTGGTTCAGATTCTTTTGTTGATCAATTTTCACCCTTACTTTTGCTTACCATATAGAACCCACTTTCCTAGAATGCAGGAGCCACTTCCATTGGAAATTATCCCAGATTCATTTTCAGTTTTTGAGACTTTGTAGATTTGCCAGTGGGGTCTCAACTCTTGACGGATAAAACAATGGTCTTGTAGATTTGCCCGTAAAGCTTCGGTATTTTCACCGCCTCGGGTGTTTTCAACACCACCACCTTCTCCTTATTATTTGCCTTTACAGGAAGTGTTGCTCGTGGCTTTGTTCTGTCCCAGCAACAACCTGAAAACAAATCAACAAAAAATGCATTGATATCATACTAACAATTTGATACTTTACATCTTCAAGTAAAAAAAAAAGAAAAAAAGATCAAATAGCTACAATATTTCCCCAAGTAAACAAAATTATCAATTATAAACATTGAACACTAACTATTTCTCGAATTGGATAGGGGTACCGTTACTATATGTTAAATAGAACACTACTACTATTATTTCTTAAACTGAACACTAGCTCTATCACTATTTTTTAAACTGAGCACTGGTACTATCACTATTCTTAAATTAACACTAACTATTTCGTAAACTGAGCACTCGTATTATCACTATTTCTTAAACTGAATACTCACTATTTTGTATACTGAACACGGGTATTATCATTATTTCTTAAACTTAACACTAATATTATTACTATTTCTTAAACTGAATACTGATTATTTTTTAAGCTAAACACTAACTATTTTTAGAATTAAACACATGTACTGTCACTATTTCTTAAACTAAACACTGATTATTTCTAGAACTGAAAAATGACTATTTATTAAATTGAAAACTTGCTCTATCGTTATTTCTTAAACTAAATACTAACCATTTTTCAAATTGAACAAGGGTACCATCACTATTTCTTAAATTGAGCACTGATGCTATCACTAATTTTTAAACTAAACACCGACTATTTCTTAAACGGAACACTAGTACTATCACTGTTTCGTAAACTAAACACTGACTATTTCTTAAACAGAACACTAGTTCTATCACTGTTTCGTAAACTAAACATTGACTATTTATCAAACGAACACTAGTACTATCACTGTTTCGTAAACTAAACACTGACTATTTCTTAAACAGAACCCTAGTACTATCACTGTTTCGTAAACTAAACATTGACTATTTATCAAACGAACACTATTACTATCACTGTTTCGTAAACTAAACACTGACTATTTCTTAAACAGAACACTAGTACTATCACTGTTTCGTAAACTAAACACTGACTATTTATCAAATGAACACTAGTACTATCACTGTTTCGTAAACTAACACTTAATCATTTCATCTTCTTAAAAACTCACTTGAAAAAGATACGAGTAAAATATTGCAAAAGGCCAGAAATAGTCAACATAATCAAAACTAGAAGATCCCAAATATGCAGAAAATAAATAGAAAAAAAAACTTTTTAACAAGAATGATTATA